AGTGATGCTAGTTTTGCTCCTTTCTAAATTTAAGATTGGCAAAAGAAAATTTTGTGGAAGTAGTTCTTTGGGGTATAGCATCTCTTAGTTTTGAGTATTTTTGGTTTTTAAGAACTTCATTCTTGGGGCCTCCCTGGTGGTGCAGGGGTTAAAAACAGCTCTGTCAACTTGTCACCAGTCACTGCAGCATGAGTTTGATCCCTGGCCAGCCAGAACTAACCACATGGCACGGCAGATCTCTCCTGTCTTGCCCGCCGCTCCCCTCAGCAGTGTATCTCAGTAGATCTATCTGTTATGCTCCCCACTCTCTTTGGTGAATCCTCTCACCCCCTGCACCCCAGTTTTTGTATGCATAAATAAATATATAAGTCTTTTTTAAAAAGAACTTTATTCTTAAGTACTCTTGGATGATCTTAAAAAAGTCTTTGTATTCTGTACCTTCCATCTTTTGTGTGTTTGTCATAATAAGGAAATTCCATAGACACAGGCCCATAAACCTGCTGTTCAACTGGAGCCCTAGACTCACTTGAAGTTGCTGTGGGTAATATACCCATGAGATCAAAGGTATTGCCAGTGGAATATTAAAAGCCAAGCCACAAATTGGTGGGCATGGATTGAGCAGTTGAAAGTTCTTACAGTGTCATCATCTGAAGGCACTATGACAGGGTTAGTTGGTTAAGGAACCAGTTAGATTGGCATGAGGCCATGCCCAACCACATGAAAGTGCCTACAATAAGGGTCTCTGTAAAACAAAACCAACCCCAATTTGATCCCCGGCCAGAGAGCTAACCCTCATATGGCACAGCAGACCTCTCCTGTCTCCCCGCTGCTCCCCTCAGCATTGTATTTCAGTAGCTCTGCCTGATCTGTTCCCCACTCTGGTGAATCCTCTCATCCCCAACACCTCTGGCCTATACCCCAGTTCTTCTAGGCAATAAGATAAATAAAACTTTTTAAAAAATAATAAAATAAAAGCTATGAGATCTCTGTTTAAATCTATCTGTATGCTTCTGTTACCCCGGGTGTGTTATATAGATGTTTACTATTTTTCTGGCTTCGATGGTGTTGCTAATATTAATTTGCATTTAATTGGTTTATAATAAGTGTTTACATAAATTATTTCTAAACTCAAATGTAGCGCCTCCCTGGTGGCACAGGGGTTAAAGACAGTGCTATAAGGCTGTTGCAGCTACTGCAGCATGAGTTTGATCCCTGGCTGGCCAGGGAACAACCCACATGGTGCAGCAGACCTCTCCTGTCTTGCCCGCTGCTCCCCTCAGCAGTGTATTTCAGTGGATCTGCCTGTTCTGCTCCCCACTCTCTCTCTGGTGAACCCTCTCACCCCCACACCTCTGGCTCTTATATGCATAAATAAATAAATCTTTAAAACAAAAACAGGGCCTCCCTGGTGGCGCAGTGGGTTGAGTGCTGCTCTGTGAAACTGTCCGCAGCCTCTGCAGCGCAGGTTCGATTCCCGGCTGGTCAGGGAGAAACCCACACGGCATGGCAGACCTCTCCTGTCTTGCCTGCTGCTCCTCTCAGCAGTGTATTTCATCAGTCTGCCCGTTCTGCTCCCCGCTCTGTCGCTGGTGAATTCTCTCACCTCCCATGCCTCTGACCTGTACCCTGATTCTTGTATAAATAAATAAATCTTTAAAAAAATAAACAAAAACAAAAAAGTGAACTCAACCAGGACAGGTTGGTAGTTGCCAAGGGAAGGAGGTGGGGGTTGGGCAAAATGGGTGAAGGGGGTCAAAACTTCCAATTATAAAATAAGCCCTGGGGATATAATGTACAGCATGGTGACTATAGTCAATAATATCATTTGAAAGTTTATTTGAAATTTGCTGAGAGAGTAGATCTTAGAAGTTCTCATCACAAGGAAAAAAATATTAACTTTATGTGGTGATGGTCATTAACTAGATTTATTGGGGTGATGATTTAATAATACATACACATATTTAATCTTTATGTTGCACACCTGAAACTAATATATGTCAATTGTATCTTAAAAGAAAACAGAGGTGCAAGTTTTACTACTTTTTTAAAGGATCCCATAGAAGTTAGCCCAAGAACCAGCCAAACAGCTAAGTCCTAAGAGTAAGAGAGAGCGGAGACAGAAGTTAGACTTGAATATAGAACAGGAACTCGGCTGGTGAAGTTTTGTGAGCGTAACTGGAGGTGTCATGAAATGAGGGAATCTGAAAATACTCAGCAGAAGAGACTATGATGTTATTACAAGAATCCAGACAAAATTAATTAAATGATGTAGGAGACCAATAGCTTTCTTTCTTACTCTATTTCTTACTTTATGAAGGAAAAACTGAGTGGCTTAAAACAACATCCATTATTAGCTTTATTTTTGGGGGGTCGGGAACCTGGATGAGGCATGTCAAGTCTCTAGCTCATGTTCTTCCAAAGGCTGCTGTCATCCCAAGGCTTGGCAGAGGGAGGATCTGATTCCACATTCACTCAGCAGACGCTTGACCAAAGACCTTGTTTCCTCGCTGACTGTTAGTGGGACACCTTCCTCGATTCCTTGCCTTGTGGGCCTCTCCATTCAGCAGTTTTCAGCGTGGTGGCTGGCTTCCCTTAGAGTCAGTCAGCAAGGAAGGAAGAAAACAGAACGAGCAAGTCAGGAAAAAGAATCTTTCTCTACAGCCCATCATTTTTGCCACTACCTGTTTGTTGTAAAGAAGTCACCAGCTCCAAACCACACTTAAAGGGAGGAAATTACACAACAGTGTGACTATTAGGAGGCAGAATCACTGGAGCTGTCTTGGAAGCTGCCTTCTATGTGGGGCATAAGCAGGGGCAGAGTTGTTCAAGAGCAGAAATATTTGACAGGTAAATGTTTGCATTAAAATATTAAGAGGGGGGGTCTCCCTGGTGGTGCAGGCAGTTGAGCACAGTGCTATGAAGCTGTCCTCAGCCTCTGCAGCACCGGTTCGATCCCCGCCGGCCTCAGAGCAACCCACATGGTGAGCCAGACCTCTCCTGTCTTGCCCGCTGCTCCCCTCAGCAGTGTATTTCATGAGTCTGCCTGTTCTGTTCCCCGCTCTGTCTGTGGTGAATCCTCTCACCCTTCCGCACATCTGGCCTATACCCCGTTCTGTATGAATAAAAATAAATCTTAAAAAAATAAAATATTAAGAAGGGTGTACATGTTTCTAACCTTGCTTGTTCATGTTGAGTGTTATGCTAAAATTATATATATATATATATACATATATATATATATAGGAATGGTCCTTAAAAACTGAAAGGGTGATCCATGAAAGGATGTATTGAAGGAGCTAGCAGATTGGACACAAAAACCTGATACCATGAGATAAATGAGAAAATTACCGAACAAGGAAGTGTATGCCCATAAACTAGAATTTCCACTTCAAAGATTAAAATAATCTCAAAAGACGCAGGAGATAAGGGAGACAAATGGATAAGTTTATGTGATAATCTGTTTAAACACAAACGTTCTCAGACATTTGGCTGACTCCACCCACCTAAAAATACTTGCAAAAGGAACAAAGTCATACTTAATACCTGAATGTGCCATTGTAAGAAACTTCTGGAGGCAATTGGCAAAGAAGCCTTTATATTTAAAATGAGCAAGTGGGCCTCCCTGGTGGCGCAAGAGGTTAAGCACCGCACTATGAAGCTATCCGCAGCTTCTGCAACACGAGTTCAATCCCTGGTTGGCCAGGGAGCTACCCACATGGCACAGCAGACCTCTCCTGTCTTGCCCGCTGCTCCCCTCAGCAGTGTATTTCACTCAGTCTGCCTGTTCTGCTGCCCACTCTGTCTCTGGTGAATCCTCTCACCCCCTGCATCTCTGGCCTGTGCCCTGGCTCGTGTATGCATAAATGAATAAATCTTCAATAAATAAATAGAATAAAATGAGCAAGCGATATTTTCAAGGACCTTCTTTCCTTAAAAGAAGAAAATGGACACTGCTGGGGGGAAATACTTGAGACTAGGCGCTGTCTCCCCTAATCTAATCAGGCCTGTGCCTTGCCCACTGCACAGGCCTCTTGCCACCACTCACTCCAGGCACCTCATGCTGCAGCCACAGCTCAGTCAGTCAGACTCCAGGCAAACCTCAGCTCATTCAGCTCCTGCTCAAATGCCACCCAGCAGAAAGAACTTGACGGCTGCTGTCGAAAATAGCATGGACCTCCTCATCCTCTTAGTCTGCCTTTCCCCCTCCTTACTTTATGGCAGTTACCATTTTCAGAGATTATAATGTGCCTTTATTTCCTACATATAATTATATTTTTATTTACCTACTTATTGCCTGCCATTTCTACCGAGATAACAATTCTATGAATTCAAGGTCTTGAGCGCACGGCTCAAGTCCGTGGCTCTTATCAGTAAAGTCTGCGAGTAAATGTGAGGAAAACACAATAAAAGAGCAAGTGAAGCCCATAAAAACCGAGTTGAGCAGAATGAGGGCGAAAACCACGAAGAACAGGCACCAACTTGCTAGAACTGCACTAATACGGCCCTGTCCAATGGGAAATATTCATCTTTCCTCATAACAGGTGATTCCTTTTTTAAAAATCCCGACTCCAATGAGCTGACGCACTGGAGAGTATTTACAGCAGCAGCATCTCTAATTCTGCAGATTTGCAGGCGGACGCTTCCCCGCCCTCCTCAATAAAATGTATTCTTGTCGCTATTTGATTGGCTGTCCCTTCTCGGTGCCCCTTTTTCATTGGTCGAGGCTCCAGTCTTTCACTAACGATCCGAGCACTTCATTGGCCCCCGGCCGCAGACGGCCCGCGGCTGTCCCTGCCCGGGCTGGGGGAGGACCCGGGTGACGTCAACGGCGCGCCCGGCCCACATTCCAGGGTCTGGGCGGAGACTTCCCGCGTCCCTGCCTTTGGGGGCGGGACAGGGTGGCGGGATCGACTTCTGATTGGGTAGCTCTGGCGGCGTGCGCCTGCGATTGGTCAGTGTCCCGGAGGGAGGCGGAGCCGCAGCTGGTCCGGGAACCGAGCTGGGCGCTCCGGGGAGTCTCAAAGTTTGTGTGTGGAGCCGTAGTGGGGAGCGGGCTGTGGCGAAGGGGTTTCTCGGGATGAAAGCTGGTCTCCGGCCGGTATCCCGGAGGCGCCCCCTGCTCTAAACCCTGCAGCCTTCGACCCGGTCCTCGGACAGTGTCTCCCCGGGGACCCCCAGATCTCGGAGGACACCGGACGGGAGCCCTCGGGAGTGTCCGGCTGGGGAGCGGGGTGTCTCCCCCCTGCGTGCACAAGCCACACGCGTGCACACACACTCACACGCGCACACACACTCACACGCGCGGGCCGACCCCCCTGCGCCGCGGCCCCGCCCGCGCCCCTCCTGCCCTCAGCATCCCCGGCCCGCGCGCCCCGACCGCCATGGAGGTGCTGGAGAGCGGGGAGCAGGGCGCCCTGCAGTGGGACCGCAAGCTGAGCGAGCTGTCAGAGCCCGGGGAGACCGAGGCGCTCATGTACCACACGGTGAGCACTGCGGGGCGCGGGGGCCCCCACGGCGGGGGGACTGCGGGCCGGGAGCTCGCCCGTGGGGAAGGCTCGGCCAGCCGGAGAGAGGGCAGAGGGGGGCTCCTCCACCTGGGCAGGGGGAGGTGGGCAGCTGGCTCTGGGGGGCGCTCGGCCGTGGGAATGACACTTGGCCTCTTCTTCCGAGATTTGTGCTCCCACCCGGCCCCCGAGGCGGGTTCACATCTGCGGCGTCAGGTCCTGTCGCTGGCAGCGCTGTGCGCCGCGCAGGGCATCGGTGTCTGGAGAATAAGAAGCCTCTGTTTAGTTTGCAGCTGATTTTTGTGGCAAGGGTTTTAAAACCCGGACAAAGTCAAGCTGAGTTTTTCTTTCTTTCGCTGTTATATTCTCTCTTTGTCTCTGTCTGTCTGTCTCACTGTTTCCCTGTCTCGTGGTCTCCTTTATGGTCTTATATTGTAAAAAGTGTGTGTGTGTGTGCGCGTGTGTAGGAAAGGCCCTTTCTCATGAGGAGGAAGACTGCTTTATTTGGCTTCCTTAACTGACCAGCCAAGTATCTGCTTCCTCCCTTTTCAGAGGCAAGATCAGCCCAGGAGTTTGGAAACTGTGAGGCAGCTGCATATTTCAGAAAGGCTTTGGAGAAGGTGGGACAGCTCACCCGTTCCTTGCTCAGTCTTCCTGCTCAGAGAGCCCACTGGGAATAAATCACGGGGCATATCCATATTTCTTCTAAAGTTTTCCATTTAAATTTTTGGGTATTACATTTGCAGAAGGCATGTTTGTTTGCAACAGCCAGCACTGATAATATGACTTTCTGTGAGATCTCTTTGTTTCTTTCTTACCAGTGCAGAAGTTTGCAATTAGAGAAAGGAAGAGAGAACGCTAATGAGAAAAGGAGAGGCTTGGCTGCTTCCCCATCAGGATTCTTTGAATGGGGTCAGTGCCAGGATATTTGAAACTTCTGCAAAATGGCCTGCAGACTCCTCCTCTTTGGCCTTTGCCTCTGGCTGACGTTATTTTGGGAAAAAAGACGAGGGCCTCCTGCTACTCCCACCAAAGCTTTGGTAGTGGCTAGAAATGGCTGGTTTTAAAATGCAGACTGCAGGGATGAGAGGGTGTGGTAGTTCACGCTGGGGCAAAAGTGTGCAGCGTGACCGGGCAAGCTCACTCACTGAGCCTTTCTCTGGGGGCCCAGATGTGCTTCCTGTCATCTGTACAGACCTTGGAGCATGTTGGTCCTCAGATATCATCTGATAATTGGGGCTCCAGATGTTTCAACTGACATGGGCTGCATTTGAACCATTTGCTAAGAGTCAGCTCTTCTCATTTATTCTTTTTTTTTTTTTAAAGATTTATTTATTTATGCATACAAGAACTGGGGTACAGGCCAGAGGTGCCGGGGCAGGGGTGCGGTGAGAGGATTCACAGAGTGGGGAACAGAACAGGCGGAACCACTGAAATACACTGGTGAGGGGAGCAGTGGGTGAGACAGGAGAGGTCTGCTGTGCCATGTGGGTTAGCTTCCTTCCTGGGGTTTGAACTCAGGCTGCAGTGGCTGGGATAACTTGATAGCGCTGAGACTTTAACCCTGCGCCACAGGGAGGCCCCTAATTTTATTTTTTTTAAATGACCTTTATGTCGCCACTTAGGGACATGTCTCTCTTCTGGGCAGCCACTCATCACTGTAAGTTTTTGCCAGCAAACTGTGTACATGAATTTGTGTTGATAGGTATTGGATTTAGTAGCAGAGGCAAATGGATTATATTCCCTCTAAACGAGGGGGGTTTGGGAGAGATTTGAAAATAGAAAACTTTCCCATCTGTTTTTGAACTCTGTTGGGTAGCCAGTTGCAGAGGTGATTATTACAGTCATTAGTGTGGGAAGGTCTGACCTGGTGAATCTCCATGTAGGAGAAGATGACCTGATTATATATTCATTCAGACACTTATTCCTTCCAGTTAATAGTTACTGAATTTCTTCTATGTGTCAAACATTTAAAATACATCAATGAACAAAAGCAGAGATAACTTCCTGACCTTGAGAAACTTAAATTCCTCTGTGTGTGTGTGTGTATGTGTGTGTGTGTGCGTGCATAGGGGGAGATAATGAATAATAAATAATAGAGAAATAAGTGATATTTTCTATTAGACATTTTTAAAAAAGATTATTTATGCACACGAGAGCTGGGGTGCAGGCCAGAGGTGAGAGGATTCACCAGAGGCAGGGTGGGGAACAGAACAGGCAGACTGACTGAAATACACTGCTGAGGAGAGCAGCGGGCCAGTCAAGAGAGGTCTGCTGCTCCATGTGGGTAGATTCCTGGCCGGGGATCGAACTCGTGTGGATAGTTTCATAGGTTGTTTCTTAACCCCTTGTGCCACCAGGGAGGCCTCTGTTAGACATTTTAAGTGCTATGGACAAGGTAAAAGTTAGGGGTAAAGGGAATAAACAGAATGGAGTAAGGAAAAAATATGATATTGAATTCAGGGATCAGAATAAGCCTCCATAGAGAGTCTAAACAAAGGCTTGAAGGAGGTAAGAATGTTAGCGCAGCAGGATGAAAAGCCAGAGCAGAGGCCCTTGTTGGGAGTGTTTCTGGCACAAGCCTATGGCAGCATTCCCTTCTGTTTTAGGTCCCCCAGTTTGGTTAGTTATTTTCTATTTAAATGCAGGTTACTTCTGAGTCACAATGCCTGTTTTGGGAATGGCCCGTTGCTCTTTCCAAGTTGAGTGGATGGGTCATTATATACGGGGAGAAGAAAGCCTGTAGGGTGGCTAAAGTGCAGATGTTAGTTAGGGAAGTGGAAAGATAAGATAATAGCTACTGTCTAATGAGCCTTTATTAGCTGAAAGGGAGGGCTGGCTACTCGCTACTGGGTCTGCTACCCGTGCGCCCCTGCAGGGCCCCTCACTTAGATGTTCTGTTGTCACCATCTTGAAATCCTTACTAATTTTTGAAAAAAGAGTCCTGTGTTTCTATTTTGCATCAGATCAGATTATGCCACTGTCCCTGCTGAAAGGAAGGTGCTGTGTTTACTGTTTACAAGAATGATGCTACTGAGCCCTCTGTGTGACCACGAGGCAGCCATTTTTAGTCTCAGTTTGCAGACAAGAAAACTTAATAGGGCCTCCCTGGTGGCACAAGAGGTTAAGACACAACCTATGAAGCTATCTGCAGCCACTGCAGCACGAGTTCAATCCCCAGCCAGGGAGCTACCCACATGGCACAGCAGACCTCTCCTGTCTTGCCCCCTGCTCCCTTCAGCAGTGTATTTCAGTCTATCCGCCTGTTTTGTTCCCCACTCTGTCTCTGGAGAATCTTCTCACCCCCCCCCCCATATACCTCTGGCCTGTACCCCAGTTCTTATATGCATAAATAATCTTTTTTTTTTTTAAAGAAAACTTAATAGTTTAAGTAGTGGGGTGAAGGTCTCCCAGCTAATTAGTGAGAGACCCAGAATTCAAATTCAGGTCTGCCTGTCTCCAAAGTCCAAGTTGTTGCCCACATGCTGTAAGGTAAGAGGATGGGAGAGGGTGACTGGAGAGTTAAAAGTCGCTGAGCCCGAAGACACCTGAGATTTCATTGCGTACCTTGCCAGCTGCCAGGATCAGCCACCACCCCTTCCCTGCTCAGTCCCTTCTTTTGCACTAGGGGAGGGAGCTAGCACAGGCAGGGTGCCTAAGGCCCTAGCAAAACCAGCCACCACCTGATTTTAAAAACAGAGAAGCCTCAGGTTGCCTGAGGCTGGGATTATGCGGTCTGAGACTGCCCTTTTTGAGCCAGCAATGCCAGTGTTTTTCTCATTTGCTTAGTTATGAAGAATTCTTGGTCCAAGAAGGACAAAGGCTTAGAGGAGACAAGTTCATAGTCTACAAAACAATGAAGCAAATGTGAACTTGCTGGTTAGTTCTAGTTGTGACAGCTTTGGGCTTCCTCTAAAAGCTTAAAAAAGGGTTCCATACCGATGAGTATTTTTAAGTCAGTGAGTAGCATTTTTGTGGAAGCTGTTGGTTGCTTCTAGAGTGGATGTAAGCTAAAAGTAGGTTGAGAAAAGAGGCACATAGAAACATGAGGAGAGTGTGCCTCAATGTTTGAAATCATTGGGAGAAAGCCTGTCCCTTTCCCCAAGCCTCTTGGATGTTGGCTATTTCTACAAAGATGGTATGTTTCTAGAAGGTTCTGGGTAAAACACATTTGTGAGTATTCACAATTTTGCAATATAAAGAGCAAATTTATAGTGTGTATATTGTATGTGCACACACCATATCTGGAAATATGCTCAAGAGATGGGTAATTGATTGTTTCTGGCCAGGGGACTTGGGCGTCTGGAGGTCAAGAGAGGGAGAGTTATTTACAACTATCCCTTTTGTTCTGTTCAAACTTTTACCTCCTAAATGTATTTAGAAGGTGAAAAATTACAACTGAAAGGCAACCCATAAGACTGGACTAGAGGTCCCTGGGGCCTGAGTTTCCTTGAGGGCAGAAGAGGGATCTGGTGATTTGGTTAAGTTCAACACCACTTGTAGGTCTTGGATGAAGAGAGAGGAAGCAGGCGGAGTGCTTGGTGGGAAGGGACTCCCAGGGCAGAGGATTAACAGTGGGTTTGTGTGTGATCAACTTTGTGCTCTTTGTAATTTTCACATTTTAGCTTAGAGGTCTGGAATATAGGGATTTATTGATTTTTATCTTTTTTTTTGATTGGACCCTCCCCGGTGGCCGGGGAACTGGCGCTGCAGAGGCTGGGGGCAGCTTCGCAGCCCAGCGCTCAACCGCTGCGCCACCAGGGGAGGCCCAATTGATTTTTATCTTTTTAAGGCACATGCAGTAGGGACTACTAAGTCTTTGCAAAAAGTCAATGACAGAAGCACTGCTTGTTTTCTCAAATGTTCAATTCATATACATCCTGATTTTTATAAAAATTATTTAGTGGTTAATACTACTAAAATTTTATATCCAGTTAGTTCTTCAGGTGAAATGACTGATGCCCCACAGCAGTAGGTAG